GTGTCACCCAGTGCCACCGTGTGTCACCCAATGTCACCGGTGTCACCGGTGTCACTCACCCTGGTGGCCCTCGGGGCGCTGGCCTTGCTGGGCACTCGAGAGCAGCACGGGACCGATGACAACGTCGGCTTCAGAGGTGGCACCTGGGGACAGCGGGGACAGGGAGGGACATGGGGACAGTGGGGAGGGATCACCCCACCCCTCCTGTCCCCATGATGTCCCCATGTCCCACTGTCCCCATGTCCCACTGTCCCCATGATGTCCCCATGATGTCCCCATGATGTCCCCATGTCCCACTGTCCCCACGATGTCCCCCTGTCCCCATGATGTCCTCCCATCCCCCTGTCACCATGTCCTCCTGTCTCCATGACTCCCTGTTCCCCTGTCCCCATGTCCCCATGATGTCCCCATGATGTCCCCATGATGTCCCCATGATGTTCCCATGATGTTCCCATGTCCTCCTGTCCCCATGTCCCCCCTATCCCCATGTCCCCCTGTCCCCATGATGTTCCCATGACATCCCCATGATGTCCCCATGATGTCCCCATGATGTCCCCATGTCCCACTGTCCCTATGTCCCACTGTCCCCATGTCCCACTGTCCCCATGATGTCCCCCTGTCCCCATGATGTCCCCATGATGTTCCCATGTCCTCCTGTCCCCATGTCCCCCCTATCCCCATGTCCCCCTGTCCCCATGATGTTCCCACAACATCCCCATGATGTCCCCATGATGTCTCCATGTCCCACTGTCCCCACGACATCCCCATGATGTCCCCATGATGTCCCCATGATGTCCTCCCATCCCCCTGTCACCATGTCCTCCTGTCCCCATGACTCCCTGTTCCCCTGTCCCCATGATGTCCCCATGATGTTCCCACGACATCCCCATGATGTTCCCATGATGTCCCCATGATGTTCCCCCATCCCTGGTACCCCCAGTGTCCCCGGCTGTCCCCCGGCTGTCCCCTCACCGTGCCCGTCGTCCCTGCGGTGGCGGTGGCCGTCCCAGGGCTGCGGTGGCCGCTGGCCGCAGTTGCCCCGCTCGCAGCAGCTGCAGATGTCCCTTGTCCCCTCCACGGGTGCCCAGCTGCACGGGGAGGTGACACCATCAGCC